GAGATCCCAAGATCTAGGTTCAAAGAGATCAAACAAAGTCATTAATGACGGTTCAACATTGTCAACTAAACTTTTGGTCCATTCTCGTGATGAGACAATGTTCAGTACCAAGGATAAAACATTAAGACTTTTTAATGATTTTTAATTTTGATACGGGGTATATCAAATAGTGTATCTACGGGATGATATGTTTAGGAATCACCTATGTAAGTGTGAAGTGTTAGCCGCTTCAAAGAGAACTTTGTAAGGCCAGTTCTCTACGCACTTATGAAACCAGGCGGTGTTCATGGTTGAAACGAACACAACAATGAGAACCAAAGACGATTAAGGGTTGGTTGTGTGACTTGTGGTTGTCTAGGTATACACCAAAGTTCGATGGTTCAAAGATATCAAATTTACCGATTGATCGAGTATATCCGACATAAGTTCACTACGGAAAGTTCAAAGGGAAACCTACTTATCCAGATGCAATTAGTCCTTACTTGCGAATCACACAATTTTTCATGCATACTTCTGTGATATAGTCATTCCTCATTCATGTGGGGGGATTGTTGGATTTTTATGTATTTAATTAATATATTAAATACTTAAAAGAGGGTGAATGAGAAATGGAGGGAAATGAAATCTTTGAGTGAAATTTTAAGTTTTCCCCCTTGGTAAATGGACATTGTCCCATATTGGAAGAGGGAGATGTTTTTTATGGGTATATAAGTAATTGCTCTTCTTCTAGCTCTTAAAGAGCTGAGAAGAAGGCAAGTCTCGCACCGTCGTCGTCGTCACTTGCTCGGCTTGGCTTCGACTTCGGATTTGAATTTGGATTTGGTCAAATGATCGATTGATTAACTTTTTGGACCAAATTTGTTAATAGTAAAATATTAACAGAAATGTTATCAAATATTTGTTTTAATAACAGAATATTAATATTAAATCCAATTCGTTTTTCTATTTTGGTAACAGAAAATTAACTACCCTCTTCAATTTTCCCTCTTTGTTGTTGAGTAAATAACCATTTATGTAATGGCATTTATGATGTGGCCGTTTTGCAGAAACAACCATTTTGAAGAGTTGCACCTCTTTAGATTTCAGCCCAACTTTGGCTATAAATACAACACTATTCTGCTCAGAATTTCACTATATTCTGAGTTTCTCCTCCTTCTTCTGCATACTTTTAGCATCAGACAAAGCAATAGTAAGTGTGATTTGCTACCGAACTTTGTGTTCGCTGAAACACGGGGGTTTGAAGTACCACTGCACCAGTGTGTAATTCGTTCTATCATGGGAGGAAATAATCCATAATCTTGGGTACTAGGAGGGGATTAAATTCCTTAAGGAAACACTGTGAATCCAGTGAGCTCGAATTGGTTTTCTGTTATTTCATTGTTCACTTCTGTTTATGTTCATTTCTGTTTATGTTCATTTAGATTTCCAAAATTATTTTACAAATACAGTTTACTAACAATTATATCGGCAATAGATGAATGCGTAAATCGCAATAGATGAATGCGTAAATCGCGTTCACGGAATGACTTATAAACAAGAAACTGTGTTTTGCTTCGTTCTTTCTCTTTTTTTGTCCAAAAATGGGAAGAGATAGCTCGCTAAATGACGTGAGTAGTTGCGCTTATATTCTGCCCATCCAAAGCTACTACATTAGCTTATTTAATCATGCCAATTTAAATAAAATATATAAATTGAGAAGCCCCGAGAAAGACAAAAGATATTTGAGCTCACAAATATACATCAAGGTTTTACCTTTAATAATCCAATTTTTGAGTACCAAAGTGTCCTTAGTTACTTTAAAAAGATTATAAGTTGACAATTTGCCTTGTGGATTTCTCGAGTTACCGGATAATACAAGATTTTTACCTTTAAAGAACTAGTTTAATGTCCAATCACCCTCACTAATACTACTAATCTCACTATCCCAGCACCTAGAATTAAGGTAGTACTCTACAAAGAGAAACCACAGTGGTGTTTTTCACTATTTCTTATGATAGAGATTACCAATTTGGTCTGCTCAAAATCTTTAAACAAACGACCGCAGATTACAGGCAATGTAGTACACAATTTATGTAATTAACATAGCAAATAGAAGTTGCAATTAAAATTCTCTCCGAGAAAAGTTGCAGCCTGATAACAAGTGACAGATGATTTCTTTCCAAAAATGAAATTTAAGATCACTAATCACCAGCTTCCAGCTTCGTAGATCATAGCCACTTAACATGCATATGCAATTCCCCGCTGATAATTTTAGTGAGTTTCTAATTTTAGAGGCGGATCTAGAGATGGTTCAACGGGTTCAACCGAACTTAGTGCTTTCGACGCGAACCGTGTATACATAAGCGAAAAACAAAATTGTATGTATAATCGATCACAACTATTCTCAATCCAATGCGTCTAAATTATAGATTAGTCTTTGATTCTGAACTAGTGGTAACATTTCAGCTACAGCTATCCTGTGAAATATTCTCACAAGCATGAGAAGAATCTGCGAGCTTCATAATACCGATCCAACACTACGTTGTACAGTGGGTGAATCTGTTCCAAGAGATTTTGAGAATAAGGACCAAATACATCCTTGGGTAATGGTGGAGCATCAGCTTCGTTGGTCCAGCTATACTGCGCAATTGAAAGACCACTTAAACAGTAACACGTATGGTAGTGGTCTCTACCCTTCCCAGGTTTGTCTCTGAAACCTCCATCAATCTACACCCACAATTATGATATCAGAATCTTCAAAAAAAAGATATAAAAGCAAAAGAGCAATCGAAACAGGGAATAACATTGCCAAAGAATCTAACACAGAGCATCATGTAACACTTGCTAAAGCAAAAAATGCAATATCTTCAAAGCATTTTGGTGAGTCACAGCTTACAACAACAACAACTCAGTGAGTTCCCACGAGTGGAATTTGGGGAGGGTAGAGTGTATGTAGACCTTACTCCTACCCCGGAGAGTAGAGAGGCTTTTTCCGAAAGACCCTCGGCTCAAGAAAACGAAAAGAGACAAGAGAGACAATATGTTAGTACCATCAACAGAACCATATGAGTAATAACAACAGCATAAGAACCAGAAAATAGATGAAAAACAATAACAAAAACCAGTGAATAAAGCTCGATACTATCAAAAACAAAAGAATAGTGTGGACACAACAATAATCGGTAGCAGCCTAGGACCCAACCTTATCAGACCAGCCTCCCCCCGGACGAACCTTATCAGCTACCTCCTAACCTAACACCCTAATGCTCGACCTCCACACCTTCCTATCAAGGGCCATGTTCTCGGAAATCTGAAGCCACGCCATGTCCCGCATGATCACTTCTCCCCATAGGCCGCCCTCTCCCTCTTCTCGAACCCGCCAAGGCCAACCACTCACACCTCCTGACCGGGGCATCTGGGCTTCTCCTTCGCACGTACCCGAACCATCTAAGCCTCGCTTCTCGCATCTTGTTATCCACAGGGGCCACAACCACCTTCTCCCGAATATCTTCATTCCTAATCTTATCCATCCTAGTGGTGAGTCACAGCTTCTGATATAGAATATTTTAAACCTACTAATTTCTTTTCCCTTCAAAGAATGAATAAATTTACATGAAAATAGAGTTCTAATTGTACAGTTAAAACATATCAAAAAGAAACATTTTATTGAATTTTAAGAAAAATGGCAGTATGTGCCTCTTAAAGGCTATTGAGTTTGTATGTTCAAAGAAAAGAATGGTACTTATTAGACAAATGATATTCAAGCTGTTCTTGAGAAGAGGTGTGATGCTCCAAAATCAGAAAGGAACTTCAAAGAAAAATAGGAAAGAGGATTGGTGCCTAGCATGCTCCACATACAGAAGCTTCTAATACATATAGGCAAACCAGTGATGATATGATGTTAGTCGAAAAAATCCTAGCTTCCTCTAAGTTTATGATTTCGTTGAAGTACACCTTTTTTTATCCCTTATTTTCCAGCTTGTGCTTTTGGGTGCATGCATACACTAATGCAAAGAGCGGTGACAGCATAGGGATCTCCAGAATATATTTTCTCAAATTTTAAGCACCTGGGAGCAGAGAAGAACGTATTGCTGCAGATAAAAGCTGTCAAAGACAGGTCGCATAGCTATGCGTCGATTGACAAAATCATATCCAGTATCTGCTATCTTTGTGGGATCTGAAGCATTTTCCTGTCCTGCAGCCAAAACAACAAAAAGCAATTAGAAAATAAGTGTGAGAAATTAGGCCTAAGAGAAAGGACCGAGTAGGCAAAAAGAAAAAGATAGAAGCTTGATAACCTAACATTATCTGAAGAAAAAGATAAGGATATTTCAAGTTTCAAGGAAATGCTCTCCCAAACCATCTCAGTGCACATGGCTCTCAGTCAAATGGATAATAGAATCAGGCCAACGAACATATTACCCATTAAATTTTCCCTACTCGTGCTCACCCATGGTTTGGATCATGAAACATATAATACCCAGTTAAGGAGAAGCCCAGCTGAAAGCATTATAGGGTACTAATTACCTTCCAAGTTCATATACAACCCAAATGCAAAGGTGTGACTAAAGAAGCGGTTTAAAATGGAGTATATTCTTTCACCCTTCATTTATTCAATTCCACCCACTGGGAGTCCTTAATCACATGATGTTTTCACTTTTTTTTTTATTTCAGATTCCAAGGAATTATTTGAATATCACTGCAACAAAGGGTAGACCAGCAAATCGTACAAGATTACGTTTTTTTTGCCTTTGAGTTATTCTTCCTCAAATTGATATACCTTCTTGTCGGAGAGGGCAAGTCTTCTGAACATGAGATGATGTCCCTTCCAAATGCTCTTCTTCATCAGATAACTCTGACTCTGAAGAATCATCAGCACTTTCTGTACTGAGTTCATTTGACAGCCCTAGTTGTTCATGGACTATCGATTTTAATCTTTGTATAAGAAAAGCTACCGCGCCCTGGTCAATCAAAGTCATCTCTAGTTCAGTAATACTTAGACTACAAAATGGAAGTGTTCAGGACATAAAGGTAAAACTGGTAGTCACCACTCACCTGCCAAAAGGAATAGCAGCCATCGACTAATTTATTTGTCCTGCCTTGAAATCCACCTTCGACTCCTTGTCTAAATACCACCCAATCCTAAGATACACAACAGCAATGCATCTCATGCCAATCAATACCATCATATGAACCAAATTTACGTAATTTCACATCACCAACAGGCCGATTGAACTCAACTAGGAATAGTCATAAGAGAAGCAACTGAAGAAAACTACTAAGAGAAGTAACGAGACAGAGAAAGTCGCATAGAGGTACTACTATATGAAAGATAGTTAGAAGGAAAATGAACTAATATTGGTTAACAATCAAACCCCAACCATCCCAGGAATGCAGCAGCAGAACCTGGTAAAGGGATCCCATGCAGCGGCTTAAAAATGGACCAGTCAAGTAAAAATAAGATCAAACCAAGGTTGAAAGCAAAATTAAAGGCCAGAAGGCTACTTCTGGGCTCTAGATGTCTTCCCATCCACCATATACTGGTAACAAAAAGCATTCAAAAGTCTCATACTCCAGCGTCCCGGATGAAGGACAACGACCTATACGCTGCACATTATTGCAGCTGTTAATATCTAATTCACTTTTTCCATATGTTTACTTTTCCCGTGCATCAAACTTCTTTCCTTTTTATTCACTTTTTATCCATAATTATCCAATAAGTAGTTTTATCTGTAAAAACAAAATAACCTACCATTTTAAAACCAATATTTAAGTACTAGAATGATATCCATTTCTTCAATTGCCAGCTGAAAGTCAGCTCATTTTAACATACTTTTTATTCCCCCTTCCTTCTTATGAGAAGTAATAAAAATGTAACCTGGAACATTGTGAAAAAGAACAAAAACAAACAATGCAAGCCATTTTCTAGTTTCAGTATCATTTTATCAGTCACGAAGGCCTGTAACAAGACAGTGTCAGGAATGTTACAGGCCAGTAAACCAGATGGAAAACAAGAGAAGATACACAGATTATTAAATTAGCAATATTCATCCCTCCCCAACACCTTCCTAAAGCAAAAAAAGCAACTTACAATTAATCTTGGCAAGTCCAATCGATTCGTTTCGTTAATCAGAATCATTGCAGCCAACCCACAGAAAGTATACCTAGAAAATGAATTATAGGTAAAGGGCTTCAGTAACAGCATAAGCTGAGAAGTTATAGTGCTGCAATGACAATTAACGTTGAAAGAGAAATACAAGTAAAAGAGCAAAACTAGATTGAAAAACATGAGCATACAGGTGAGACTTACCCACCATGAGCTTCAGAACCTGGTTCGCCAGCAATTCCACCTTCATAAGTCTGACAACTGAAGCAAAAATAACAGTTTAGGAAAGGCTTATCCAAGCAAATATATTCTTATAATGAATCCGAACGATAAATGAGGCGCATTAAGGAAAAGAAAGAGCTTCCGCCTGCTTCTTATCCTGTACTTCTGACACTAGGAATATATTCTTCTTTATCCTAGCGAAATAATTCTTATGATGAGACTAGAATATAACCAAAAACTTGAGAGAACAAGAAGGAAAACAAGCTAGAATGAAGAATATTTCCTTCACTATTTTTTATTCAATGAGGACAATGGGTAATAATTAGGAAACGACATATATATCTCCCTGATGTGTGGCAGCTGTGAATTCAATGGGAATCACGAATGCAACTAAAGTACCAGTTCTGTCATGCATTTAGTACATATAATTATCTGTCCACCATGCCCTGACAACTAATCAGTGAACATCAATCAAATCAACTAGCATCAATTTCAAAGTAGTTGGTTTCAGTTATATGAATCCTCCAAATCCATTACTTCGGGTAATTCCAATACTCAATAATTTGTCTTTAAAGGCAGGAGCTTTTAAATCTTAGGTTGTCTCTACCATAAGCATAAATCTTACCACACAAAAGGACTTCTGGCAAACACGAGATCTAACATAATTATAACAACAACTAATCCTATGTTTCCTTAATCTCAACTTGATATCGTGGATTTTGGGTGACTGTAGGTCTTTCTCAACAACTTTTTTACATGTGATTTTGACTACCTCGTTACCTTTATAGCACCTTCAATTATTTTAACATAGCAAGTATGGACCAGTACATTTGAAGGTGTATGTAAAACATGATTAAACCATTTCAAACAACTTGCTCTCGTTCTATCCTCTTATGAGTTCTACCTAGCTGCATCTTATCTTGGTTTTGATCATTTTAATCTGACTTATAGCCTGTTTGGCCAAGCTTCTTTTTGGCCAAAAGTGCTTTTTTGGCCAAAAGCACTTTTGACCAAAAATTGAGGTGTTTGGCCAAGCTTTTGGAAGGAAAAAAAGTGATTTTGAGGAGAAGCAAAAGCAGTTTTGGAGAAGCAGAAAAAGTAGCTTCTCTCCAAAAGCACTTTTTTGAGAAGCACTTTTGAGAAAAAATACACTTAGAAGCAGTTTTTTAAAGCTTGGCCAAACACTAATTGTTGCTCAGAAGTGCTTTTCAAACTAATTAGCCAAACACAAACTGTTTCTCACCAAAAGTACTTTTGAGAAAAACACTTCTCAAAATAAGCTGATTTTTGCAGCTTGGCCAAACGGACTATTAATCATGTACAACCTCACGCATATCCATCTTAACATCTGCATTTCATAACACTTATCTAGTGGTTATGTTGGGAAAACAATCGCTCACATATAATATCGCTAGCCTCACAATCAATGTTGCTCCGATCCTCCAAGAATATTGTCGGGTGCATGTTGGATCCTCCAAATTCCAAAAGTTATGCATATTTGAAGAACCAGCATGGGTTCAGCAGTATTTTTGGATGATCTGAGCAACATAGCTCACAACCGTTCTGTATACAACTTTTGATAGGTATCTTTTTATCAGATTGCCCAGCACTCCTATTTCAGCCATCCAATTTTTTTTTTTTTTTTGGGTCAGGATTTCAGCCATCCTCTTTAATTCTATATGTTAAATCATCCATCCATCATGTCATTCTCTAGGAAGACAATTACCATCAGTTAATCGAAAAGGAAAATTACAACTTAATTAAATCATAGAAAGATAACATTATCAGTAAATGATACGGCAACAAATATGAAATATGGTAGAATAGAGTAAGTTGAATAAGCTGTAGTAGATGAGGGCACGGCTGAAACCAACCTTAGGATGTAATTTCCAACACCATTAATCAGCTCATCATCCACAATTTTCAATATACTTGCAACCTAAAGCACGATATATCAATTAACATGAAAACACATTATTCCGAAGACAATTAAGAGGTAAAAGACCAAAGTTGAGATGTAACATGCATGAATGGTGTATGTAATCAAGTATTCACTATTTAACTTACAATAGAGGCCTGCATCAAGAGGGTTTTCAGATGAAACCTTGGAGACTTTTGAATCTAAATTTTATTTTTGAAAACAAAGTCATGTTTTATCAAATTGACCCTTGATAAGCACAAGAAGCCATTAAGTGAGAGTACTTCATTAGATCCAAGTCTCTTCAGTAGGAACAGACAAGGTATCAGGTATGGTAAGGATTCATCATGAATCAATATCTTTATATTGGTTATCAACCTACTGCAACTTTCCTCCTTTATCCGGGCTTGGGGCAGACAATGTGAGCTATGCAGAATCGAGGGTTTAGGTCAGTCACATAGCCGATCCCAACTCTTCTTGGGATTGCAGCTAGCTGTTGTAGTATGAGTAGATGAGGTATGACTTGAATGTTTGCTAGGGGGAACTGTGAATTTTATTTAAAATTTTTGTATCTGTAGCTTTCATGATTTTTGATTTTTTTTTCTTGTTTGAGAATAATATGTAGCTTGCATGATTCATCGATCAAAATTTTTATATTCGGCCTTAAGCTTATTTAAGAGTTTTCCATCGAAGCACGGTAAATATGATGATGATATCATCGGAATTCAGATGCATAATCATAGGAAAAGTTGACACTTTACCAAGAAGATCACACTTACAGAAATGGCAGTATAACAGGCACGAACATCCACTTCTCCACCATCATGCATCCTGCAGAAAATAATTGAAGTCTGAACATTAGCAAAGATGGTGCAAGTTGTCATTGATGAAATTGAAGATTGAAGACAAGTGTCTCTCATCATCTGATGAAATTGACTATTAAATCCATTTGGATCTAAAGACTCAAAAATGAACCCCAACACACAGATACACACACATACACACACATACACACACATTTTATACATAAACATTCTCAATATGCTTTATTTTCAGATCAGGGTAAAAGTGTCTAGTACAACGGTAGTTCATCCAAAAGCCTAGTTCGCCTCGAAAGAAGTGAAAACTGAACAAATTAGAAGGTCGGATTGAGATCAGGAGAATCAGCGCCAATGAAAGCCCATTAGTACATAAAATGGAGAGATGGCAATTTTAAAATAGATAAATGAGTTACAAATTGAAAGAAAAGAGCCTAGATTATAAAGACAATATAAATTTCTAGTAGTCAGCAAAGGGATAGGAGATAGATACAACAGACTAGGAAGGAGATATAAGGGAAGACATAATTTGCAGAGCTGATCAAATAAGGTAAACAAGTAGAAAAACATCATACCTGAAGCCACCACTTGTGTCTTTCATTCGCAGCAAAAAGGCATACAATTTTTCTCTGAGGCATATTATTAGACAATGTCAACAAGAGTGGATGATAGATAAGATCCCAGTAAGAACATAGAATAGCTTGTGCACCTATTGATTGATGACAGAGCTTTAGGGCAGCCCAAAGTTATGAGTGAATTGACTGCAGCATAAGTTGTTGCGAGATGAGGCATCTGAACAAAGCAATATATTACAAATATCACTTCAAAGAACCTTAACGACAGGAAGCACAAGAACTATCTAAAATAAACAGGCTGACCAGAACAAAGAGAGCTTGTAAATGTATCTGTGACTCTAAAGAAACAGAAAAAGAGTTTCAAGCTAACTTAGAAATGAACGAGGAACAACGCCAATAATTAGATGTGTAATTATCAAGTCAGGCCAGTGTTTTGAATAGCGTGAGGCGACAAATAGCGATGAGGGCCCGCTTCACTGAGGCGAGAGACGAGAAGCGAAGCGCTCGCCTTTTTGATGTGAAGCGACAATTATAAAGAAATAAAATATTAAATATATATATATATATATATATATATATATTAATAAATATATCAATTCAAAAATATATCAGTTAAAAACTCAGGTTTGAAGAAGCTCTCTGCCTCTGCCCGTGAAGGAATTGAAAAACAGTGCAAAAAAAAAAAAGAAGAGAAGAAGAAAAAGGAAGGAAGAAAGAAAGCAAGAAAGAAAAAGCTCGATCAAAAACAACAGAGCAAAAAAGAAAAAGAAGAAGAGAAGAAGAAGAAGAAAGAAAGAGAGGAGAAAGAAGAAAGAAAAAAAGGGCAGAAACTCGAAGAAGAAAGGAGAAGAAGAACGAAGAAAAGAGATGAAGAGAAGCATACCTGATGAAGAAGCTTGAAGAAGAAAAAAGAATCGCTGGTGACTGGGTTGACTTGAAGGAGAAAGAAGAAGAAATCGCTGAAGCCCTAAATTTTTTCTTTTAATCGCTGGTCTGCTGCCTTTCTCTTTTCTTTTTTTCAAAAAGCGACGCTACAGGGCGCCTCTCGCTACACAGGTAGAGGCGCTCGCCTTTTTGAAATCGCCACGCAACGGAGGCAAATAGCGTTGGAGGCTCACATCGCATCGCCTAACGCTATTAGCACTGAGGCGAGCGCTATTTACAACACTGAGTCAGATGACTATTTCCCTCTAACTTTCTATTATAAGTCCTAACCGAATTCTATTTAGAGTTCACATATTTACAATAGTCAAATCAACCATCATCTCCAGAGGACGAAACTAACATGAGTGATAAACATGGACGCACAAGCATACCAAATACAAATGGAAACATCACAAAATCAAACTCAATGTGAAAATAAGCACAAAGCAGCTGACTAAAATCTGACAATGGCATTAAAAGTGGAATAGGAGAATTTGACTTGCCTGACCAGGTCCACCGCCATAGCCACCATCTTTATCCTGTGATGATGGCAAACAACACATGAACTAGATTTTATCGCATTTTATTGTACGAGAAGTCTAGAAACAAATTAGGTGGAATTGCAAGTAAGTAAAAGAAACAGTTACACAGGTATTCTGGAAAGACAGTTACTTCCAGGGGATAACTAAGTTGACTTCAACTAGTTTAGTCAGTATGCTCTCCTAGGATACAAGAGGCTATGCAAAAAACTAGTTGTAATTCTAAGGTCCATTTTAACTCAAGGTTGATAGTTGCAAAACAGGCGATCAGCATTTCTTCCAATAATTTATAATTCTATCATTCGAAATATAATAATCTAAGTTTCTTTTGATTAGCAGATGAATTTAATAGTTTAAACAACAGAATCCAAAATGAACAGACCTGGCAACGGCTCAAAAAGTCAATTGCATCATTTTCCAGTTTGGCATCAATAGATTCTCCCAACAAAGCGATTGAATGAAGTATCCAGTAGCAAAGCCATGGTCGACTAGAAAGAAAAACTTATGTAAGGCAAAAGTAATAGCTGATGATAATGAAATAACCTTCAGTTCCATGTCAGTATAGAGTACTACAAGGATATAATAGCCACAATTACCTTGCACTAGAACATAGGCCAAGATCCCACCTTGATGAACACATTTTCCAAACTGTTACAATATGGTGGTGTGATATGGGAAAGGGGGCGCAAGGGTGTGGACTAATGAATCTGGAATGCACATAGGATGTGGGAGACCAGCGTTTGAATCCCAACAAAGTCAAAAAAGCATTAAGTGATTTCTTCTCATGCTAGACGACACATGCGCTAGTGAGAGATAGTAGGTACCAATGGATTAGTCGCGGTATGAGCAAGCTCGCGAACACCACCACGACCCCCCTCCCCCAAAAAATAAGAAAGAAAAGAACAAATAACCTTACTATGTCCTACACCAACAAGATTAATCAACATGAACTTATAATCAGTTTAGTAGGTTCTATGTAATCAAACATTGGACATACAAAAAAATGTAATCAAACAATGTTGAGAGCTATATTTGAAGGTCATGTATTCATCCACGATAGCTTGTTAGCTCTTTCCTCGCTTTATTATAAATTCTTCTATTAGTGAAAGCTCAATCTCAACTCTCTGGCTAAGATCAGATCGTGCAAACGACGTTCTTCCTAAAAAGCCATTCAATCAATCAACTTGCCTAGTTCCCGAATTAGAAATCAGCTATATGAAGCTATATTAACTGAGCTGCTGAGCTTTATACAAGTAAATTTCATTCCAATACTAGATAATTTTACTTTTAAGGCGCATTAAGCTCATTATAAGAAATAATTTCAGTTGTGTTTGGTCCTATAAGACACCAGTTAAGCATTAAGATTAGAGTCGCCAACATTATAAGTGAACTCCACACAGTCAATGAGTAATCAGAAACGAGCATAGAGGGATGGGGCTTACTTAGCATCCAAGACGGAGAACGACGGACCAAGTTTTCTGAGACCTCGAGTGAGATAATCGAAGTGCTTATCACGTTGAAGCTCTAAGCTTTATCATAAGAAAGAAACAAATTAACACAAAATAAGTTCCTCAAAAAAGAATTTTAAGCTCTAAATGAACAAACTGACGTAATCGTGAGAAAAAAAAAAAAGAACCCTAGAAATTGAAAACAGTTGAGAGCTAACATTACGGACTGGGAATTGGGAGGAATGCTGTAGAAAAAATCGTATATCTCCCGAACTTGATGCTCCACCATCCATTGATCTTCCAGCGTCTTCGTTACTCTCCTCGACTCCATTTTTTACTCCAGCTGATTACTACTTTTCGTGTAGATTACTGTAAGCGCCAAATCAACACCCTTTTACTCTTTCTACGATTACTGTTCTTCCTTTTTTTTCCTTTCCTTTTCTCTTTCTTCTGCTATTTCTCACCAAGTTTGAGAAAGACTGATTTAATTTTTGGGCTGATTTTGATTCGCCGTTCACTGTACAATAATAGCCGAAAAATATATATTTTTGTATATATATATATTCTGTATGTTATATATTAAAATTATACAAATTTATATTTTTTTTTGGCTATCAAATATAAATAATTTTTGTGGGACTAAAAGTGAAAAAAGTCCTCTAGTTTTCGAATTGCCTGGTCCGTGATATTACGAGCCCGGCCCTGCCCAAGCCATAAAAATATTATCCTGGAGTTTAAGTTGTGAAATTTAAAACTCCATAATAGTTATATTAATTTTTAATTACATAAATGAAAAGTGATTACCCCATGCTATTACTACCATAAAATGCATAAGATGGAGGAAACTTTCTGTCCTTATTTTTTTAATGTTTTGGATTATAATAGTAAGTGTCAATCTAACTGACTGAAACCTCATTTTCATTGTATGTCAGTAATTTAGTAAATCATTACCAAATTACAAGTTCTTTAAGTATTTATTGTTCCACCTTTCATGGAAATAAATTATCTTGATCACTCAAAAACTATATTGTTTGCTAATAGTCCTTTTGTTGTTTTTTCCTATATTCACAACTTCTATCTAATAATATACTTGTTTATTTCATTCTAGTTTTTTTTTTTTTGGAATTACTTTGTTTAATTTAGTGAACTTGCTTCTCAGTTGCCTTAATTTATTTTTAGTCTTAATTATACCAGATCAATTATATTTAAACCACTTATAGGTCATGAGTTCGAGTCGTGAAATCAATCGTGATATTTGCATCGGGATAGGTTGTTTACATTACACCATTTGGATTGCGTCCCTTTTTCGGATCCTGTGTGAATGCAAAACGTTTCTTGCATCGGGCTGCCCTTTTATGGGTTAAAGTTTAACAATGTAAAAATATTTGGCAAGAATTGTTTCCCCTCTAGCAAGCTTTACGTAATGATAAATGAAATAACATTATAATCCTAGCATCTCATGTTAATAAATGAATCATGCGTCTCGAAGCTTCTCCAGATTGTAAGAAGTAAATTAGTTTGCGGTGAGATGAATGTAATTTTTTGACACTGATCTGCATTTATGGGTTAGAATTTATTAATTGAAAAAAATACTTGGTAAAAAATATTTTCTCTTTAGCGAATTTTACATATGTATATTTAAATTAATCGCAAAAATTAATAGAGATAAGCAGGTGCTTTGACCGTGAAACAACAGACATTCATAGACTTTTGTTTGTTAACTAATATACCTCGTTATATGGAACCGTGAAGTTGAAGATGAACAAATTGTTTTTATATCTGATTCATAGACTTTTGTTTGTTAACTCATGGGCTTCTATAAAGATGATGGTACTATTATTCATATTTATTCTCTTTTTTGAAAAAAAGGAAATTTAAATTTTCTATATTACTGAACTGTAAGGGAATCTAAGCACAAATTATGAATTTTGCTTTTCTAGTGTATTGCAGGAGCGATTAAAGCTAAAATTTCAAAGGGCGGTGAGCTTAAAGAAATACAAGTTAACTTATATACCTCATTATATGGAAGCACAAATTCATATACCAAGAACAAATAATTGTCTTAAACTGGACGACATTTGATAACTTACAGCTTCAAACATGCATTCTACCAAATTATAATCTGTTTCGGCATTTATCTAATGATAGACACAACAAATACTTCTTGCCTAACAACAAAAGTATCAACAACCCAGTAAAATTTCATTAGTGGGGTCTAAGGAGGGTAGTGTGTATGCAGACCTTACCCCTACCCCGAATGAGTAGAGTGGTTATTTCTGAAAGACCTTCGACTCAAGAAAACAAAAGGACAAAAGGAGACAATATTAGTACGTGGAAAAGAATTAATACACTTTTGCCATTTTTCAACAGGCTTGAGAAGAAAAAATTAATACACTTTTAATGGAAAAGAAACAGATTACGACCGACATGAACTAATAAGAGGACCACCATATAATAATTAACACTTACGCTTTCAAGAAATAACAAATTAAACACTTTATAAAGAAATCCAAAAGGAAAAAAACGCAGCAAATTTAATCTGTAGTAGCGTTTATGCATAATTATCCTAACAGTAAAAATTAATACACTTTTAATGGATACCAAACAGAAAACGACCGACATGAAATAATAAGATAACCACCATATAATAACGGGTTCAATTAACACTTACACTTTCAAGAAATGAAAAGGAAATTAAAGATAAAGAACACTTTTTCCACTGATTAAGTTCCAGAAGAAAGAAAAAACGCATATCTCATAAAGACAGCTTAATAAAGAAATTAAACACATAGTAAAAATCATCATGAAAACTATAACCAGTCCAATTTGGATGATTAACCACTGCAAAAACAAGGTCATACAAGGGTTTAGTTCATACAAGAAAGAAAATAAAAAAAATAAAAAAATTCAAATCTTTAGTCACAATAAAAGCAAAGAAAGAAATCTTCTTAAGAAATGAAACACTCAACCAGTAAAATCATCTCCAAAATACGCATGAAAAATAAATTTTGGTTTTCGATCTTTACCTTAAATGAAGAAATGTTTGGAATTTTGAAAGAAGTTGAGAGGATGAGAGCAAACAATGAGGCGAATAGAAATGATGAATTTGGCTGTCTATTTATACATTCAGAATTCCGTTTCTCATTCTCCCTAAGCGCCTTGAAGGTTTTCTGTTTTCAAATTTAACCATAAACAGAAGGGGCAAACTGTAATTCTTTTCTCACCAATGCTTGTAATTCTATTGTCATCATGTAATTTATAATTATTTAATACTTTTATTTTAAAGAAAAATATAGTACCTAATGTTATTTATGTATATACCTAAAGTTTGCCTACTTTGTATTTGATTAATTCTATTTTGCTTATTGTCACCCATAGAGTAACTCTGCATATGGCTGAAAACATGTATAATACACATCTTTGTTCGTCTTAATATTGGAAAACGAGTGTCATCGTGTTCGTCAGTGCTTTACTTTTTTTTTTTTTTTTTTGGTTAAGCAGATGCATATTATAATTAAAACAAACTACTCGTTAGGGTGTACAAAAAGAGTGTTTGTGGGTGGGTATGTGATACCCCTTCTAGCAAGCTATAGTTATTACTATTACAGCTCATTGTTTTCCTTTCAAACACAGTTCCTGCGATGTCTGTCCAAAAATCATGATTGACAAACACCGGAGAAACTGTTGTTACAAAAACATCTTCAACAAAAAATTTCCTTGCCCCTTCCTTCGCCAGCATGTCAGCAACTTTGTTGGTCTCCCTGTAACTGTGCTTCACCACCACGGCGCCTAGTCTTTGGACGATTGACCTGCATTCATGAATAAGTGAATCAAAATAGAGGTTTCCATTAATTAGCATTCTGATTACCTCTGTTGAATCAGTGTTTATTTCCAAAGGTGTGAATTGTCTTTCTTCTGCAATTTGCAATCTTTTAAGGAGAGCTAGTAGTTCTGCTTGGGTGTTAGTGGTGTATTAGATTGAGCCCATGTAGCCCAGTATCCAGTTTCCACTTGCATTTCTGAAGACTCCCCCCAGTCCTCCCTTACCCGGATTCCCTGTTGCAGCTCCATCAGTGTTAAGCTTGTAGGAGTTGTTGTTTGGTGGCTCTCATTTTACCCAGATATTCTTCATGATTTTGGGTTCTTTATCCAGCATCATTGTAGCATATTCTGTGACCTTAGCTATTGCACAGTTTGAGTCTGCCCTATCTTTTCTGTTATTGAAGAGATTATTGTTCCTTGTTAGCCATATTTGCCAAAAACAGAAAGGTAGGAGCTTTTCCCAAGTAATGATGATGTTGTAATCTTTTTTTCTTTAGAGATTCCCAAGTGGTTGGCCAATCTGTGGAAGTGAAAATAGGAGTAGGAGTATTGGTTTCCTTATTGCTTTGGGAGATGATGTCTTGCCAGAAGGTGTGTGAAATGGTACATTCAAAGAAGATGTGTGCTGATGTTTCATTGGCCTGGCTGCATTGGTGGCAACTGGGGTTTGATTGTACCCCAACATAATAGAGATAGGCTCCAGTGGGGAGCCTTTCATGGAAAAGTAACCAGAAGAAGGATTGAATTTTTTTGGGTACTTTTAGTTTCCAAATCCAAGTGAAATTGTCGGTCATGGTTTCCTGTCCTTGGTCCAATATTGAATAGGCAGATTTTGTGGAGTAGAGACTATTTGGTGTGGCTCCCTATATCATTCTATCCTCGTTAACTGAGTCGGATGGAATGAAAGTGTTGTGGATGGAGTTTTGAATATTTTGGGGGATGGTGAGAGAGAGAGTAGAGAGACCCAAACTCCATTTTGTGGGCATTTGCAACTGTTTTGGACATGTCTTCTCTTGTCATAGGACCTTGAATTAGGGACCTTATAGCAGGAAGTTTGTTTATCCAATGGTCATTAAAAAAGCTAACTCTGTTTCCTAAATTAACTACCCATCTTTTTGCTTGCATGCATGTTTTCCATCATTTTAGGATGCATTGCCAGGTGTGGGACTTTGCTTTTTTGGGAGGTTTCCTCCAATTGCAGTGTTTTGCAATAAGAGTTTTTGCCCAAAGGGTTGTGGGGTTTTAGTATAGCCTCCAAGCAAGGCCTGAGTGCTGGGCTTTATTTTTTAATTCAGCTTTCTGGATCCCCAGTCCTCCCTTGTCCTTAGGCTTTGTAACTGTGTCCCAAGATATCAGGTGCATTTACTTTTTAGTAGTAGTAGTGCCCCAGATGAAGTTCCTCTGAACTTTATCAATTTCTTTGTTTGTTTTTGCTGGCAGCTTGATGTATTGTATGACATGGTTTGGGATTGAGTTTAATGAAGCTTTTGCCAGAGTGGTCCTTCCAATCATGTTAAGCATGCTTGTTTTCCAACCTGCCATTTTTGAGTGGAGATTCTCAATAATGAACTGAAATCACTATGAGTGGGTCTTTTGTGGAAAATTGGGAACCCCAGGTACTTCCCAAAGTTTATTGATGCTTTTATGGAGAGAGTGTTTGAAATGAACTCTATTTGAT